CAGGCAGTGGGTGTGGTTTGGGCTTTGCTTCTGTGAAGATTGACAGCCTTGGAAACCCTGTGGTGCAGTTCCACTCTGTCCTCTAGGGGCGCTGTAGGTCGGAATTGACTGGCCATTATCTAACATCTCACCCACTTAAGAGAGTGCTTGGGGGCAGAGCAAGTGTTCTGTAAACACCTGCTTGAATGACAAATGAAGGAAGGAGCTCACGAATCCCCCCTAAACCCTCTGAGGTAGGTGCTGCTATCACCCACCAACCAGCCAAGATCACAGAGTCGGCTTGGCGGGGAACAGACAGGCTTCAAACCCAGGCAGCCCGGCTCCAGAGCCCTCAGGTTAATTAAGCACACCCACCACTTCATCACACCGTCCTGTGGAGAAGCAGAGGAAGATAGGCGAGTCTGCACCACCCCTCAGAGGCACAGCTCGCTGGGGGAGGCAGCCACTCAGCACGGGGGTGGGGTCGAGGGTGGGGTGGGGTGGGAGGTGTTTTCCTCTCACTCACTGCCTTCAAGTCAATTTGGACTCACAGAGAACCTCACTGGGTTTCTGAGTCAGTAAATCTTTACAGAAGTAGATTGCCCGCTGTTCCTTCCGAGGAGCGCTGGTGGGTTTGAACTGCCAACCTTCTGGTTAGCGGTCAGATAAATGCCTTAGGCACTACGCCACCAAACCACCTGCTGCATCCTTAGGCGACACGACTGCTGTGTGCATGATCGATAATTCACTCTTGCCTGCCAGAAAACTACTTTCTACCCATCCGCTCCTGGGCCTCTATTGACTGTCGCTGCCCCTGGCACTGGCCTGGGATTGTCTGGGCCCATGTCTACCTCTCCCACCAGCCCAGGGTCCTCATGAGAGCAGAGCGACACAGGGGGCTGATATTTACTTCATAAACGAAGTATAAAGAATGCCAACATGTCCCACGCACACCAGTCAGTTCCCCAACAACTCGCGTTCCCACAGCCCCAAAGACCCTCCCAGCGCGTGTCCCGGAGCCCAGCAAACCCCGCGCATGCGCCTCTGCACTCCAAGGAGTGCCTGCACGACTTCATCTGCCAGCGCGCGCCCCCGCGCAAGCGCCAGGGGACC